CTTAGCCACAGAGAGAAGGAACTGATCTGGACGAAATTTCGTCGCCGGGTAGGTAAACGGGGATGAGTAGGTGGCGAATCGTGATCTGTTGCTAATGTTAAGGTATGCATTAATTGAAAACGGCGTCCACGCATAGTAGAAATACTTGATGTGGACACACCTTAAATTCTAATGAGTTCATCTTCCAAGACACAGTCTTTTTCATGATGTAAAGAAGCATATATGTTGCATCAACCTAATTATCCATTAGAGATTAAAAGCAAAAGCGGAATGCATTAAACGTATATACATGGCTATATGTATATAGCTTGTAAGGTTACATCGTATTAGGCTTTCGAATAAACTTAATGGAACTTACAACTTCCGTCCTAATAGTATAATGTTACATTAAAACGTTGTATAAGTTTACAACCTATATTGTAGTATAAGCTTATACTCGGTAAGAAAATGACATATTTTGTAAAGTAGTTTAGAAACCCCGACAGGGTTTGTGGAATAAAATTTTCCTAAAAATTTTAGCTTAGGTTAACCTTAGAATAAGCTTACCCATCAGACAGAACTTTCCGTACAGGCATACCTCTTATAAGACAACTTCTAATAAGACAAATTTCCCCTGTCGTGTTCTTCCCTAAAACTTTAGATACATATTGCGTCATGCGGTGCATATGGCTGACAATGTAAACAGAAAGAATTGTCAAAACCTATCAAAGCACAATAGCATAAACATTAGGCTAATTTTGGGTACACAGTTTTTCTTAGGATCTCAAATTGAGACCATAAAGTGTATCAAATAATGATATGTTGTTGATAATGCAACGTTTTGATGCTGTTTATGGTCTCAATTTGAGAGCCTCAAAAAAACTGTGTATGGAAAAAATGCAAGAAAGAAATTTATGATTACTTTTTGTAATTTCTACTATTTTTTATATTAATCTCTTTATTTGTTCTAACATAATTTCCAATAAAGTCCAACATTATTTTGAAATAGACCGCCATGCGCAAACGGTCACTACGCATCAATTTCTCCTCACGCGAAAAACCTGCTTTAAGAGAACCCCCACTAAAATTGTCTTATGAAAGGTTTCTCTGTAATTAATCAAAGTTGACGATCCTATATATACAAATACAATACTTGATTTCTTATAGTGTGCCCATACTGGTGAAAACAGTTCCGGTTTTTTACTGGTTATTAAATTAATAATGTTCTATTTCGAAACTAAATGACAAATATTTCGAATTTTTTATTGATGCTGTATATTACCTTTATTAGAAATTTTTAATTGACTTTTCTTTATTATTTTAAGTTGATATCAATTGTCCTAAAACAGTATACGGAGAAAAATGAGTTTGCTATTATATGAATATAGCTAATTTTTAGCTATACAGTAGCTAATATTTAGCTGTTACAGCAAACTATTTTAGCTATAGTAGCTAATTTTTAGCTGTATTAGCTAACGAAAATTGCTGTCCATATAATAACAAATAGGGTTAGCTAAAATAGCTAAATTTTAGCTAATATGGCTAACTTTTTTTCTCCGTGTAGGGGAGACCGGGGCTAAAAGTGCAGGGGGTAAGTTGTGCCGATAGGAATATCTCAAAAACAAAATTTTTTTTTTTGAAAACTGGAAGTGAGAGAAGTATTGTTTTACTTATGCACATCTTTGGCAACTATTTTGATTTTGTCTGCTTCACGGAATAATTAGTTGTTAGTAATTTGGTGCTTTGGCGTCACTTACGAGCAAGTTTTCATGTTTACACTTTTTGGTCTATTTTTTTCATTTTTAAAGATATCGATGCGTATTTTTTTAAAAAATGATCCAAATTTATCGAGGGATTCAATGGTGTATTGATCTTAACATTTAATTTATCTAGTTTTTTAATATTTGATAAAAAGTGAGTATCGACGCAACGAAGTTAATTGTGCCTTTCGCTTGGGGCTGGTTGTGCAGCTGTCAATCGCTATACATAACCATAATCTACTATTGCCTCGTTTGTTCGAATAGTTATTCCAACCCGAAATTAAGAGAAAAGTGGATTCAATGCATCGTTTACAAAAACTGGGCACATTTAAAATGTATGAAGGGTAAAAAAAGGGTCAGTTATATGTGTGTCAATTGTAATTTCAATAAATCGCATTCGGAATAAGTATTCATGTCTTAAAAATTATTTATTAATCAGAAAGTAGAGTTTTTACAATTAATTAACGATACAAATAATTATTTCAAAAAATATTTTGAAAGATTGACTAATTATGTAATTCTAAAAATTAAGTCAGAAATGTTTATTTATTTACAAAAATCTATAAATGTTACGATTGTTGGAAAAATCCTTTGAATGTTTATAATAAAAATACTTATTACGAAAACTATATTTTATGTGACTGACTATGTTTATTTGTAGGGGAGACTGGGGCAAACCGGCCATGTTAACAGTTGTAAGGCTCTACACGGAAAAACTTTGTTCAAGAATCATTCCTAAATTTATTCAGGAACTGAGAATATGAGAAAAACGCTGCAAAATTTACAGAAAAATACAAAAATCATTCAAGAAAATACTTGTATTTTTATTATGACATTGGAAGACTTCTTGTTAATGCCGCGATCGGAATATCTCAGTCACTGGGCGTTGAAAGTTTCTTGCACTGTTTTAGAAGACACAGTACAGTAACCAAGCACTAGGCAGGGATTGGTTGCGTCAAATATGTTTCCAATGCATAATACCATAAGCTGCTGAGGTATAGCTGAGAGATGTAAAGCGGAGTTTTTGGACTCTCGAGGACGTGGGATCGAGTCCTCCCCCCAGGCAGAAATCGACGACCGGCTTGGTACCGGGCCGGTACCAAGGGCGGACTTGCCGGTGCCGGCGTGTGATCGGCATTACCGCCGGCTCGGAACCGGTCCAGTCAACAATGATAACCCGGGAAATATCCGCCCCGGTGCCGGTAAACCACCGGTCCGGCACCTTACCGGTAAACCATCGGCCCTGTACCGGGCCGGTTCTTGTTTTCAGTGTTTTCGTACCGGTTTATTGCCGGCACAACACCGGCAAGATACCGGGCCAGTGAAAATGTAGACACCGGCCCGGTACCGGCAATTGTGCCGGACCGGAGCCGGTCCAGTCAACAATGATAACCCGGGAAATATCCGCCCCGGTGCCGGTAAACCACCGTCCTGATACCGGGCCGGTTCTTGTTTACAGTGTTTTCGTGCCGGTTTATTGCCGGCACACCACTGGCGACGCGACGTACCGGGCCAGTGAAATTTAGACACCGGCCCGGTGCCGGTATTTCTGCCGGCCTGGAGCCGGTCCAGTCAACAATGATAACCCGGGAAATATCCGCCCCGATGCCGGTAGTAAAAAAAAAAATTATTTTGTTACTTTTCTGCCGGCGTTATGCTGGCACGGTGTCAGATTAGTATATTTTATTAAAAACACATTTTTTCATATATTAAACGTTAAACAATATTATTTATTAATTAATTTAATTGTAAACCCTAAATAGAATGCTGAAACATATGAATTATTATTAATTATTAACGAAAAATCTGAAGATGTGAGGAATTGAACTCAGGACTCTCGGGATGCAAAGTCGACGCCGCATCCGCTAACCTAAACCTGCTTATGAAAAGTAAATGGAAAGTTTATGTATGAAGTGTGACACCAGGACCAATTACAAAATGTTCTAAATTAATAGAAAAAACCTTTTTGTCCTACCTGCACGGAAAGTGTGTTATTTCGTGCACTTGAGGCGGTCGCAAAGTAAGTGATTCCCGCCCAGAGATGGGGTGAGCGGGCGCAAAGTACATTCGCGCCCGCTGACGTCATAGAAGCGGGCGCAAAATACATTCGCGCCCGCACCATTAAAAAATGTATTGTTTTCATTTTTTGTGACATAATAAACATACGTAATATACGTAAACAACTAATTATTAATTTTATAATTTTAATATTTTTTTTTAATTTCATATTTCTTTGTGATTATACTAACCCAGATAACACGTAAGCTTGCAGCAACCTTGCGGCAAGATTGCCGCGCAATATTGCCAAACTTGCACGGCAAACTTTCCGCAAACTTCAAATGTCCCACCTGACCCAAGCTTGCATGGTAAACTTACCGAAATATTGCTCAGTAAGCCTACCGAAAGATTGCAGTGTAAAGATACTGCAAGATTGCACAATAAGATTATCGCAAGATTGCTTTTTAAGATTGTATGGTAAGCTTATTGCAAGGTTGGTTCAAGGTTGCCAAATAACCTTACTTTGAACCAAAACAAATTATCATTTAATTTCTTCTTAGAATATTAATATTCATTTTAACAGAAATGATGAAATATTTTGGATTATTTTTAAAATATTTTATTACTAATAATGTTTAACGTCCGAGAAGTATATTAATTAGAAGGTTTCGTATAAATAAAACGATAACATTCAGACCATTGTTGTTTTAATAAATGTTTACTCCAACGTTTTGAAACCTAAATAATTCCCTCTTCAGGGAGTGAAATTAAATTAGATGTTAAGTCATAAAGTTAACAGTCATTTGCGGTGTTAAATCAAATAAAAATAAAAACAACCTTAACGTTAGAGATAAAACTTTTATTAAAACAACAATGGTCCGAATGTTATCGTTTTATTTTTACGAAACCTTCTATTTTATTATACTTATATTTAAACAGATATACTGAAATGGTCGCGATATTCATCAGAGTTACTGAACTGAGTTTCGTACTTTTTCGTCTCATGTGTCTATATAATATATAATTGTGGAAATGACTACAATCTTATTGCCGGCACATTAAAATTTCCTTAAAAAAGAAATTTAAAAAAAATAAATTTCATAAAATATATAATACTCTGGCACATATAACAGCGATTTCTTATAATATTTTTGAGTTCTCCACAAAAAAGATTTCAGATATAGTGGAAAGTTATATTTTTATAAGTTTTAATAAATTTAATAATAATATTAACAAATTAAATTTTTAATAGCATTTATTTACCTCAATTCTTTCTTCTTTGAGGTCGACCTGCAGAGCAAGTTGTTCTCTGAGAAGAACATCAGGATAGTGAGTTTTGTCAAATGTTGCTTCTAATTGTTCAAGTTGTTCTTCAGTAAAAATTGTTCGATGGCGTCGTTTTCTTTTTGCCATTGGTCCAACTCCTGGTGTACTTGAATTTATTTGATAAGGATGTCCAGTATGATAAAAAGCTGGCTGTCCATGCAGTGAAACTCCTGCAGCTGCCATTGCAGCCACATATCCTCCTGGGTATAATCCTGGATATGCTGCGGCTGGAAAATCAAGTACTTTTCTTAGAATGTAAATGCTTTATAATTTTATATTATTCAGTGAACAACTGTATGACAATTAATAAATAAAAAAGAAGCAAAAATTAATCTTTAGATTATTATGATATAGTTATATGGTGAATAAATATTTTATTGTGTGTAATGACGACTGAAACATCAATGATTTGTACAAAAGACATATGCGATCCTCTTTAACGTTATACTTTAATAAAATCAGTTCGAATGCATATGTTAAATATGCATGCTTTCTTAAGAACGCGATACACTTATCAATTAAAAATTTATTTGTAAAAAAAATTTCAAAATATATATTATTATTTTATAATTTTTTCAAACAGTAAAGAAAAGTAAAATCTAAAATGTAATGTTGACATAATAATAATAGAAAATATATAAACAGTGAATTTTTAAAATGAAAAATTATTTTAAGCGGCTTCAACTGTTACATATTAAAAGAGAGTGAAATAGCGGACCCAAGGCTCAAGGGACGTTTTAGCACAAGTCTTGAAGAATAAAGCTGCTTAAATATAATGTCTCGTCGAGCAATGGTGCGCTAGGATCTTTCTCAATGGTTAAATATATATGTATATATCAGTTTTTTCGAACTCCCTTTACTGCAATGGGTATTTTGTGCTGAATTTCAAACTGCCCCGCAATCATTCGTCCGTGATAGAAACGGATTCCAGAATCTCAACATTTGCAACTAAGTACTCAAAAGAAAAAAGGGAGATACTTTTAACACTCTCGTGAGATTTATAAAAAGAAACATTCGGTGAAGGCTTTATAAAACCTCCATAGGGATTTGCATCACTTACAACATCTAAACTCTTTTCTCTCTCTCTCTCTGATAATGTGCTATTAAATCAATAAAATTTCTGCTATATAAAAAAGCAAAAATATTAGTCCAGCCAGTTAGCATTTTTAGATATTTTAACTCAGGACCTCAATTTTTTTTGCTTAAACCATACATTTTGGGGTAAAAAGTGCCTAAATTATTAGGTACTTAAAACTCCTACTGGTACCTAACATTTTTTTAAGAAGTAGATGCAACAAATCAATTTTTTCAAATTGACACCTTCCATGACATTTTAACATAAAAATAGGGTAACTGCACCAGTGGTGGATCAATTAAGCCTACTAAATTTATTATTTTGACTTTAAAGGTGTACAGATTTTTTCAGATGAAAAATATAGGGTAATCTTTACAATAGTATGAATTAACAAGTCTTCCAGGACACTATCGTGTAGTTTTCGACCTGCTTGTAACGTTTACACCCCCTAACACCCACATTCAACAATAAAATGACATTGCTCCAGTCGTGGATCATTTACCCCTTTACACTACACAAAAATAACTTAATGATGTAAATTTTTTTCCAAAAGTATTCTATATGGAAAGAATTGATTACTTTCTACTCTAAAAATTAAAAAAATTTAGACTAAACAATTATTTTTTAAGATTTCATGTGAAAAAGCATAAAATCAACAATTGTTGTATTGCTTTGTTTTCCTAAATATTTTCAAATGATTTTATTTCATAAAACTTATCTATACACCTCCCCTAAACGATTGAAACATTTAGTTCAATTAGAAATAGCTTATTTTAACCTTTTTAACGCTGTTGATCCACCATTGGTGCCTGATCCACCACTGGAGCATTTACCCTAGTTATCATAAAAAAGAAAGTGTATAAAATTGTGAGTAATTTGATAAAAAATTAACCTTCCCTCACAGCATGGGATGTCCAATTTTCATCCCGCGATATCCCTGAGACATCCCAGGGATATCCCATGAGATATCCCACGGGACGGAAATTTGGATATCCTGTGGACATCCCCGGGAGATCCCAGGAATATCTCTGGGATATCCCCCGCGGGATTTATTTATCGCGCATGTGCAGAGAACAAACATATGATTGTGTTCTAAGATGGCGGGCTAAGGCCTAGAGTGTTGACGTGTAGGATAACGCGTCCTTTTTTTTTCTTTTCTTTTAAATGTTTTTGGTGTTAAATCAAGTAATTTCTTGTGTTTTCGTTAAATTTATAATAAGTTTAGTGTATATTCAATAAAATTTTTCAAAAGTTTAAATATTTTTCATAGTATCAAGTGTATAAGTAAAGTAGGTAATGCAATAGTGTTCATGTATATATTTTTAGTTATGATTTTTAAATAGCAAGTTCTTTCCGTGAAAAATTAATAAATATAAAATCAACGTTTGTTTTGTGTATTGATATAGTTTTCAAACAGTTATTTTATACATGCTGATCACCAAGTTTTTTTATATAAGCAAGTTTCAGGTTATGTTGTGAGATGTTTTGTTCTCTCATAAAAATCGTACTGTTATTAATTTATAAATTAAAAAATCATATTAAAATAATTTCTAGAACAAATATATTTTTGGAAATAGTTGTTCTTTTAATATACATAAAAAATCATTGTCGCTTTTTTCTTACTGTAATTATAGTATTCCATTCTGAAGCATATCCTGCGGGGAAATCCAACGGGATGTCCCTGGGATATCCCATCATCCAACATGATATCCCTAGGATATCCAAGGGATATCTTTTTGTTGAGATTTTTCAATTTTTTTCAGTTTTTCCAATATATCTTTGAAACCAATGATTTTTTAAAAACGCATGACTAACAGTAAAGTTAAAACTATAACTAAATTCCTGACAATTTGCAAAAAGAGCAATGTAATAGCTCTAATAGTTTCCGAGATATACAGTCTCTCAAAGTTGACTCTTTTGAGATTATATATATATATATATAATGGTAATAATATATGAGATTGTATGTAAAATCTCAAAAGGGTCAAAGATATATTTGAAATAGAACATTGAAATATATTTATTTGTGCTTTATTTGATGTTAATAAATTTTATTTTGTACATTTAAGGTTAAATAAAATTGATTTTTTAGAATCTATAAGGTACTCTCTAAATTTAAATCAGCGGAATCTCGCTGATTCTCAGCCATCAGTATACCACTGATTCCAATCAGCTAATATGCACTGATGAATTAGTGGAATTTCACTGATTTTTCAGCGTATATCCGCTGATTGGTACCAGTGGTATACTTATCGCTGATTCAAATTTAGAGAGTAATATGCCGTGCAGAAATTGCCCTATTTAAAATAGGGCTTTAATCAGGGCCTATCCTGCGAGTATATAATCAAAACACCGATAAGAAAAAACAATGACATAAAATCGCTTGTTCACGATCAAGAGACGAATTATTTAAAATTGAAAAATTGGTGACATCATGTCTATCAATCACTGCGAAATGGTATTAAACGAATCTTGACGAAATTTGCTTATAGTGTGTGCATATCGTCTCGTTCTCGGGCGCAGCCCTGCTAATTATATAAGGATTTAGATATAGAGAATGCTAGAATATAAAGATTACTATTTTCTGGATGAAATATGTTCTTTTGATTCAAATTTTTTGCATTAAACAAATATTTATTTTATTATTATAGTCAGGTAACAATAATTATTTAAATTAAATAAATTTTTTCAGTGTATCAGTAAAATCGTCATCATTTTTTACAATAGATTTGGGTCCAATATAAAATAACAAATGAAGTTAAAACAAGGCTGGCATGCTGCCTGGAAGAACCAATTCTGGGATGCACGCCTTTGACTTAACCATTTGTATTTTTGTTATGTATTCCCAAGTAGCACGATATATCAACCAGATGTCACGGTGATATCACCGGGGAATATCACCGTGGCATCAGGAAAATGTCAAAATGTCCGCCTTACGGTGACATCGAGGTGATATCATGGTGACATCAAGGTGATATCACAGTCATATCACGGTGATATCATGGTGATATCACCGTGATATCATGTTGATATTTTACAGGGATTTAAAATTTTTAATACATAAATAAAAAAAATAATAAAAAATAATTTTTAAAAAATTTTAAATCCCTGTGAAATATCAACATGATATCACCTCGATGTCACCGTGTGATATCACCGTAAGGCGGACATTTTCCTGATGTCACGGTGACATTCCCCGGTGATATCACCGTGATATCTGGTTGATATATCGTGCTACTTGGGTTTGTTATATACACTGAGAAAAATGTTTAGTCAGAGCAACCAAAATTTGGTTGTGCCAACAAAAAAATTTTGTTGGTATTTAAGCAACCAAACTATTGTTTGAGTCAACCAAAAAATTTGATTAAGTGTTTTTTGTTGGCATAACAAAAATGTGTGGTTAGCTCAACCAAATTTTTTTTGTTAGGTCAACAAAAATGTTTGGTTGATCAAACAGTTTTTTTTGTAAAATTAAAAATTTTATTCTACCTTATCTCTTTTCTTTTTATCTTTTTTATTTATTTCATTATTTATTTATTATTAATTGAACATTGAATTTATATTTATCCAATTGAAATATTTGTGGACTTTGAAAAATCTCATCTCCGCCTGGGATCGAACCTCTGTTTTAAAACTGAAGATCGGGAGCTCTGACCACTGGACTACCCATCCTTGTGAGAGATTTAAACTAACTGTTCTCTTAAGCTATGAGCTGAGAGCGAATCAAATTATTTGGCTGTCGCAACCAAATTTTGGTTAGGACAACAAACGATCATTTGGTTTTTTAGACCAAACTATTTTGTTGTGTTAACCAAATTATTTTGTTATCGTAACCGAATTTTGGTTGGAATTTAAAAATGTCCAACCAAATAATTTTATTGGCCTAACCAAATCTTTGTTTCAGCCAAACAAAATTTGGTTACATGAACCAAAATTGCCTAATCAAACAATTTTGTTGCAAACACTTAATTTTTTTTCTCAGTTTATCTGTTATAGAGATCAGAGCTGACATTTATCGTAACATGCTTGTAACATGCTATAAGCTTGTGACAGAACGTGTTACATCTTGTTATATAACAAATATATAACCATTACGTATTCGTGTTTGCTGGGCTTGCACGGTAAGCTTCCCAGGAAAAAATTTCTGTCAAACGCCGATATTGACAACAGGCGCAATCATGCACCAATACTCGGTCAGTATTAATTCAATACCGAATGCCAGTATCCAGAAGAATTATGAAAATTGACATCCATGAAGTTGGCGTTAACGCTCAGCGCCAAAAATTATTTTTCACAGGATCAAAAATGTCAAATTATTTTTTTTAAAAAGATTTTCGGTCCAAATATGTAATGCCTTAAGAAATACTTTTTAAGGTATTATGTGAACCCAAAACTTTTTTAAAAACGATTTGTTATTTTTGGTCCCGTGAAAAATAATTTTCGACGTTGAGCGTCGACGCCAAACTTCATAGACGTGAAAATTGTGTATTTTTGTTGGTTAGAAATTAAATTACATACATATTTTTTTTAAATTATTTTAATACTTCTTTTCGATTACTGCAATGCGTTCGTTAACGGAATTATTAAATTTAAATTTAATATTAAAACTTTTTAATAAAAAAATACATAATTAATCAAGTTCTCAAATTATTTTTCTTACACTGAAAAAATATATTTGAATCAAATAAACTCTATTTTAACCAATAATTCCATTCAATTTAGGAAATTTAAACAAATACAAATAAATATATATTTTATAATATTTGAAGAAATTATTTGAATAATAAAATAGTTTTTTTTCGAAACCTTGAAAAATTGCTAATTCAGTGTACTTTTCATTTCATTATAATTGTACTTATTTTTTCATACAATTAGTTAACTAAAGTATAGTTACGAAGTTTAATACATTAATTTACCATTTTCATAAAGAAAACGACAAATTTTTATTTTCTACGCAAATGAGAAGTGCGAAAAAATGTGCATGGTTTGTTTACATTTCACATGTTGGACATATCCTAAGACATATAAGGTTAAGTCCAAGTTGTGAAATGTAAACAAATATGAAAATGTAAGGAATTATTGACGAACGTGTGCACGCCTAGGTTCTGTACCCAAAAATGTTTGTAACAAGTTTTTTATACAAAATTTTTGCTGTCTTTTTAACTAATATCGTTGCACTTCCATCAAGTTAATAATACTATATATTTTATAGAGGGTAAGGGAGGGCGCGTGGGGTACAGTAAAGAAAACTGCCTGGTTTTTTTATAATAACTCTGTCAAAATGCATTATTTAGACAAACCTACAAGTATAAACTACAGTAAAACCCCATTTATCCGAACTCGCTTTATCCGAGGTCGTGTCCTAGTAGGAAATTCTGCACATTATTCGAGCGTTGTCCGCGTCATTCGAGTTATTTTTAATTTTAGTTTTATGTAAATATGTGTTTGTTTCTAATAAATTGTTGAAATTATTATGGAATATATACAAAATTATTTTCCCGTTTGTAATAAATAATTGTTTAAGTTAAATTGCAATAAATATTTAACAATTCGGATTATCGAATTCGAAAAACTCTGAGATATAGGTCCGAGTTCTATACAGTAACTATAAAAGTCATTAAAATTCTGAAATTTTGAGAAATTCTTATCTTGAAAACGGCTTGCTAAAAAAAATTTGAAAAAATTCATGAAAGCTAGTCTCATTTAAAAATTATTATGTCCGTCTCTTAACCTATAAACACTTAGGTTTTTAACCTAAGTGTTGAGGTTATGTTTGAGGTTAGGTTCGTCTTAATCTATGTTTCTGTAGTTTGACCTTGAGTATTGATGTTATGTTAATTTTTAACCTATATGTTTTTGACATATAGTTATAGTACAATCCTGGAGACAGTAATGAGCCATTCCACGTCAAGAGGTCGCTGGGTTTGATCAGAACTAAAATACTAATATACAGATATACAGTAAATTCCCGCGTAGCATTCAATCCTCTGAATCGAGCCAAATTTTCAACGGTATGCGAGTTTCAATGCTGCGCGAGTTGAACGGTAGGCGAGTACTGTGAGCTCCTACGTAGCGTCGAAATTCTCGCCTAGCATTCATTGTTGAATCAGCGGCGGCAGCGATATATTTTTATAATATAATAATGATAATGATATATATATCTAACAGTTTGACAAATTCAAAGAAACGAATTAGAGATCTGCCTGGTTTACCCGCAAACATGCCGGTTTGCCCAAAACTCGACTCTTAATATATATATAAGTGTTTATCATGATGAGGAAGCTAAATGGTCATGAAATGATAAAATTTTTAACTTGTTTTAATATGTCCCAGACACCTATATATGGCCATCTTACCCTACATTTCGGGAGAGTAATATGGTCAATTGCTATGTTTTTTAAAATACATTAATTTTAAAATTGTTATTATTGCAAATTTTAAATATTTTTTTTGTTATTTCGAAGTATAATGTTAACTGTTTAATTATCAATAAAAATTAATACACAAAAACTGCTTCCGTTTTATTTTAACTGACATTTAAAAAAAGAATGGTATGCCTAGGGAGATAATATAATAAGGGAATTAATCTAATGTGAACTCACTATTGGAGTTGATTTTTAACTCGAAAAATTTTACTCCCAACTCCGGTTGCCATTATAACAATCCCCACATTTTTTACAGTAAAGTACAATCTCGGTAAGTGTCGGGTGGTCGGGACCACAACATTTGATAAGTGTCGTATCATGGTGTCTTCCAATGCTTATATTGATATATAATATTCTTCTCGGATATAAAAGATTGAATAATAATTTAATAATATAATTAGATTAAAATTCAATTCAAATCCAACACATATCGCGATCCGACACTTACCGAAATATATGCGTACATTCACCTCAACTTAATAAGCTGCCAATAAAATTACAGCGTGTAAGTATATATATATGCAGTGAAGTTTCAGTGCGGCTTCTATAGAGAAGCTTATACAAAGAGCATGACTGATCATGCTCAAAATACTCTCATTTTATGTCCTCTTGTGAATTTTATATATTATACGATTAAAAAAATGCATCCCTTTAGTTTGAATCGGGCAATGTCGATAATAGCCGATGTAGCGGATAATTTTCTAATAAAAAATATAATTTTGGATACCCAATCAACTGCCAAAGTGAATATAATTTGGTAATATAAAAAAGTTAACATTATATAGTTGACAATCAAGTGTCTGAAACCGATTAGATAATGCGTGAATAGAAGATAATATTGTTTTGTTACAATCGATTAATGATAATTTTTTTATTGCAGATAGTCCGATCGCAAATCGTTTATATAACATATCCCAAAATCGGGAAAGTTCTAAATAACATTTAGAAAAACAAGCACAAAAAATGCTAAAGTTTCCGGCACAAAACTTAACGCCAGTATAGACATATTGGTTATCTATATATTTATATACTGTTAGAATCCCTATACCAAAGAATGTATTGGCGCAGTTGTCAAAAATATAGATAATGATTTTTATACTCTGGGTAGGTATTAACTCACGTAATTTAATAATTTTATATCTTTCTCATTTCATTAGTTATTACTTTATATTTTCATTTTATTATTTAATATAATTATATTATTTTTTATATGAAATTCTCATGGCACATTTAATAAGCAATATGTGCGAACTGAATTTCATCCATGCGACGAAAAACTTTTATATGTTGAAGATATTTCGGATAAATTTTGATATTGCTCAGAGAAGCTGCTGCAAAAAACAATCGTTTCCTGTGCACGGGTACAAAAGATGCAATTGTATAACCGCCGGATGTGCACAAAGTAAATGCAAGTATTTAAGAAAACAATAGAAAGTGTAACTCCAAATGCCATAGCAGCCTTTCTTGTAAAAATAAATAAATAAAATAAATTGTTGCTTAACAAACTTTATGATGACTTTATATTGTAATACACTTTATATTGCTAAAAAAATTATGGACATTGTTATACATAGTAAAAGTACAATATTTATAAAATAGGAAAATCTATTTAATAGATTACTTATAACGTTTAACAAGTTCAAACAAATGTTTAATCTAAAATAGGCATATTTCTATTTTCATTTTCTTAAGAAAATTGAATATTTTCTATATATAATAGTTAAAATAAATACTCTGTTTCAGAGATATTGTATATTCATTTTCTCTATTCATAATATATATATATATCTTTAGTATATAGTTAAATATCATAGAAAATTTTATTTTCTCTATTCTAGCGAAAATGAATTATTGCTAAGGCGATATTAACTATATATACTTATAAGTATTCTATCAGAGATTATTTTATATAGCTATAGTCTTATATACAAAGTTTTTTAGCGTGTATAATTCATTATAGTATAGTAAACGGGCATTATTGTCAAAGTTTTGTGAATATTATTGAAAACGTCAGGGCAATGTCGACAAAGCCCGATTCCGGGCATTGACCGCATCATATATACATAAATTTTTTGAAAACAATGTTTAAAAAGTCGAATTTATAAATGCATGCTACAACATATATAACTTTAATCTCCCTGAGAAAGCAATAATTATACAGATGTAATAAAAAAAAATGTTTGAAAATCACCTTTTTTATATACACTGGCATGATTCGCAATGAAAAATGTATATCGACAAATAAATAGACTTACCTAGAAAATCTGCAGGCATAAATGCCAGATGATGAAGTTGTTGTTGCAGAGGATGCACAGTTGGTGTTCTATTGGGCGAACTAATAACGTCTGTACTTTGTATAATTGATACATTTGTTGTATTGGAGGATGTGACTGTATCAATTGGCCTTGGTGCTAAAATGCTGTCAATTGTAAACAAAGACGCAGGTGTGCTCAAATTTGCAGAAGAACTAGGCCTTGATGACTCTCTTGGCATGAACCTCGCCTGTTCTGTATCAATAGGACTTTCTCTACCTCCTGAGAAATTTCTTTCGTGAACTTGAAATTCGTGATTTCTAGAAGAGCGGTGAGAATTGGAATGAGAATCCATTGCAATTTTTAACTTGTGTTCAAATGACTCAGGTGAATAATTATACAAGTATCGATGATTATATCCGGAAATACCAGGACTATCATGCATTAAGGGACTCGAGGGTTCGGTCATTGGAGAACGTGACCTCGGGGAATCACTCACATAAGCACTTTCCACCATGATACAGTTTTATCACCTAGTTCGATAAAAAGTCTATTACATTCCAATCAAGTATAGCGTTTGTTTCTGTGTGCACAATTTCATTGCTCAAAAAGAAAATTCATACAAAACTGCAAGTTGTAGTTGAAAATTCTTATTGCAAAAGATGAATCAATTAAATGCGTAAAACATTTCATCGTACTATGAAAATCGAGTCTACTTGTATTGACCGTTAGAGATTTTATTGTTTATTGGATTCATTCCATTTTTCTTGTTATGTGAACCTGATTGACAATATAGTGTTTACCACAAGAAGAAGGCATTTTTATTCCAATATCCTCATTTTTCAACGCAATCAATTCGAAAAGTATGTGAAAAATCTCAAAACAATAGTAAAGTTTGTAATAATTTTCGGCACTCTTTCTCACACACTTTTAAATGTTGAACAATTAGATTTCCAAGAGAAGATAAAAGAAAAGAGACTTGCTCTTGATCGGTAAATTGTGGTCCGGTTACTTGACTGAGTGACCGAGGGGTGCGAGTCTGGCCTGGCAAAACGTAGAGAATTGAGCTGCTCCAAAGAACCGTATAGTAACCGTGGAAAGCTGCCTCAGTGGCGGTAGATCTACTGGTTGAGAGGCGTGACTAAATGCACAATGCTCCACCCAACTCCATTTAGAGCACCATTTTCCCCTACGTACTCCCAGGAATCTGAGAGAGCAGGACCATCCCTGTCATCCCCTAAAAAGAGCGATCGACATCAATTTCGCAGTGACAGAAACCAAAGTAGCAGTGGGGATATTGTTGATACCTCTGTAGGGGATACAGAAGGCGGATCTCATTCTACTCACAATGAGCTGTTTTGCGAGGGATGGAGGATTTGTTGGGTTGGAGGGTCGGAAGACATATTTAACGCGCATAACTGGCATGGTACGGGTGCATATTAGAGATTTTACTTCACCCGCGTTCGTCTCTATACAATATACGCATGATGCGAACTTCCTATCTATCCTTATATCTATGTTTTTCATTATTTTTATTAACATGAATCCCAATCAAAATGTACTATGGTATTTAACTCATCGTGTAAAGCGCTCAAGTGCATAAATGACTTCTATCTGAAAGTTAATGATTTTTATATTTAAGACAAACCAAACCGCGAGTTGCAAAGAGAGCGCAAAGTTTTTCAGATGCGTATATCATAAAACATATACTGCGATATATGTCTCGTCGAATACGTGTTCTACCTGACACAGCTACCAACTACTATATATATATATATACGTTGGCGAACAAAATTACAGTCTAACTTTTAATCTAAATAGCAAAATGCATTATACTTATTAGTCGCACTATATAATAAATATCTGATCCTTATATATTATATTGTTATATATATATGTATATTTATACAATTAAAAACACGTTTAATATCCCGTATATTAAAATGTCTGCCTCCTGGTAATATTTATTACTATATGTAATAATATACGCACGCTTATTTGAAAAACATAAAAATTTCGCAAACTTTTTAATGATAAAGCAGAAAAAGATAATAATTAATTAGTTAAATATTTTTAAGTGGTTTTTGAATTTTTTTTTTACATATATTGTAATATTGCCGGGTAATATTTGTTTATTGATTTTTTAGAACTTGAAAAACGTTTTAATTCTTCTGTTTGTAAACATTTTTAACATATAATATATATATATATATATATATATATATATTATATATATATTATCAAAGTATTAATTAATATTAATAATTTATTAATTCATAAAGTTTATTCAATTTAAAACATTTTCATTCAAAAGCTTTTCTAACCAGTTTTTAGGTTAAAAATAAGTTGTTTAGTAATGTTATAATAATAAGTTCATATATATAGGAAATGCGACAAAGAGAAATTTTCATATCAGCATATTAAACTTTAAAAAAACTTATATGTATAGTCGTAATAAAGTCATATATTAAAATTTGTTAAACATGTATTTGTTATTTGATATAACTTTCCTAAATTTCATATAATTTTTTTTAGGTTAGTATTTCTGATATCAAAATTCCACTTTGTCGAATTTGTCCTAATATAATAATTGTAAAATATACTTTTATAAATTTGATACTATATAACTATTCATATCCAACGTCGCATTTTCCTATATATTTGCTATACAAATTTATTGCTGGAAACTTTTTGAAAAATGTACTTTATGGGCGTATATCTTAATATAATATAATATAATATAACAATGGTATTAGAAATAATATCAATATTAAAACGAAAATATTGCCAAGAAATCTTTGTAATATGTGCAATATTAATGCAATATGTTTATATTAAATTACTGCAGATTTTTAGTACATAACTTTGTTGTTGTTAATTTTGATATAATACTAAATTTATAAAATATTTTGTATTTTGACATAAAGATTGAAAAACGAATAGGTATATGTATGTATATATATATATATATCTCTTCGTATAGCTTTTAGTATAGTATTAGTTATACTCTGAATAATAGGAGGGTTTATATTTGCCTTAGATTTATACTAGTGGAGAACCATGCATGAAAAGAATCGATGGATCATACACGTCCCCTAAAGTATATACTGGCCAAATTTGCCCCACCCGATAAACTAAACTACACCCAATTCTATACGGTACAATATCTTCGACAACCTTAATCCTAATCCCAACGTTAATCGCAATGCGGATTCATTCAGCAAAAACTAGACCTCGCATTTTATATATATATATATATATATATATACCGGGTGTCCGCGAACATATTTTAATAATATGGTGAGATCATCTCTAAAAACGAAGTATAAAACCGCTTTAATTGTAGGGGATAACTGGATTGAAAGAATTGAGAAAAGTGACCAATGAAACTTCGCCTATTGCTATTAAGTATATAGTGTATATATATATTATACTTTTATTTGTTTATTCTATTTCTTTATAGTAGATATGATTGCGTTCTTTGTATATAGAAAGTGAACTAAATGTAATACACGGAAAGAAAATATAAACATCAAATTTTATAAAAGCATTTTCAAATTTTGTAAAAGTATTTTCAAGTCGTGGAAAATATTGTAAAAAGCGAAATTTTCATATAAGAAATACTAATCTTGAATAAACTTTTATAAACTTTGTACAAGATTTAACAGTTGTAGTATATCATTTAATAAAATGAATCTACTACGTTCTACCAAATTTTATTATAACTATTGTGAATTTCATAAAAGTTTATTAAAGATTAGTATTTCTTATATAGAAATTTCGCTTTTTACAATATTTTCCACGACTTCAAAATACTTTCACAAAATCACAGTAAAAACCCGGGCTCAAAATGATCCAGCCAGCAGGATCATTTTGATCCGCATCAAAATAAGTCAAGTATTGGTGACGCCACGTTCTATGTCGTTTAATATTGGCTCATTTTGAACCGCAGCAATAATGAGCCCAGGTTTTTACTGCGATTTGAAAATGCTTTTATAAAATTTGTTATTTATTTTCTTTCCGACTTCTTGCTGTATGGTTACTGTAAGGATATGGTAAGGTCGTGGTAAGCTTACACGGTAAGGTTGTTGTAAGCTTCCCGTAAGGTTACTGTAAAGTTGCTGTAAGGTTACTGTAAACATAAAATGTTATTAATAAATAAATTTTATTAATATGTATTTATGCGCAGTAATTTTCTATGGCACACTGAAAAAAATTTGCTTCGCATTAATGATGACTATATTAACCATCACAGAAAAAACCTGAATTCAAATTGAGTATAGATTCTATACTCAATTTGATTCGCAACAAAAATGAAACTGGTTGTCTCATTTCGAGTTCTAAGGTAAAAGTATCAAAATGAAACAGGCAAGTTTCATTTTGAGAAAAAGAAAAATGGAAAAATATTGTGAAATAACGAATAATTTTGCACAAAAACATGAAATATAATAATTACAAAGAAGTAAATAACACGCTAGACTTAATATATTTGATTAAAAATTGCTTGTAATCGCGTAATAAAATAATAAAGGAAATATGTTTTTAGGTTAGAAAAATGAAAACATGTGTTTTGACAACAGGAACGGTACTGCCAACTTAAATAATAGCGGTAAATTTAAAAACTTATGAAATTAATTATTATCTACGTAAATAATAATAAATAATTTTTATTTAAAAACTTCTAAATATTCGTACTGGTCAAAATAATCTTTCTGGTGTTGTTGAAATATTAGAAACAATAATTGAAATACAAAATTACTCTGCTTATGATGCCAACTTAGAAATCTGAAATTCCAGCCAATATCATTTTGAATAACATGAAGTTTGTCCCATACTCATTTCGATACCCAAAAGAAAATGTGTTGCAACAAAAATGAGTCCAAGTTTTTTCTGTGATAGCAACTTTAAATCTAGTCAGCGTAAACAAGCAATCCTAGTCAATTCAGTTATGTAGCTTCTCAAGCAGCACGGTATATCCCCTGAATATCCCTTGAATACCATCGTGGAATATTCCCATGATCTTCCAGAAAAATCAAAATGTCCGCATTATGGGAATATTCCACAGTGACATTCAGGGTATATTCCAATGACATTGAGGGTAATATTAAAGGAATATTCCAGTGATATTGAGGGAATATTCCACGGTTATATTGAATTTTTTTTAAGTGTTAAAATAATAGAAATGTGTTATAAATTGTTATTTGAATAAGCAGGAAGATTAAAAACACATTTTTAAAAAAAATTCAATTTAACCGTGGAATATTCCCTCAATATCACTGGAATATTTCCACAATATCACCTGAATATCCCCTTAATGTCACTGGAATATTCCATGAATGTCACCGAGGAATATTCCCTCAATGTCACTGGAATATACCCTGAATGTCACTATGGAATATTCCCATGATGCGGACATTTTGATTTTCCTATAGAAGCGATCATGAGAATATTCCACTGTGGTATTCAACGGATATTCAGGGAATATACCGTGCTGCTTGGGTACTTTGGTTCTAACAGGCCCGCATAATAGAATTTGCTTCTATTTTGTAATGTCCATATCAGACTGTCTGCATATGACAGACATATTGAACGTATATATATTCAAAACAGATTTTTGAGATTTATAGCAAAACAGATTGTCGTAGATTATTATAATCATCAGTATAGAGGCCCACACAGCACAATAACTTACTACAAGTTTACAGCAAACTTACATGTAAGTTTTGTAATATTACAATGTAAACTTACAGTAAGTTTAAGGTAAACCTAAAATATCCGCCATAAAGTGACCTCACACAGTATAAGGCTATACAGTAACCTTACAAGGTAAGTCCACTGCAAGCTTATACATGGTAAGGAAAGGTCAAATCACTTTATTGAGACAAATCCTGTCAGGGTCTTACCTATATATACAGGGTGTTCCAAAAGTATGGATACTTGTAAATATCTCGAAAAGTACGCATTTTCGTGAAAAATATTCAAAACAAAAGTTGTTCCCAAAAAAAACAACATTTTTGATGCCAAAAAATTTGTCCATAGACCCAACAGTGAAAAAAGAAGTATCACGAAAATGCGTACTTTTCGAGATATTTGCAAGTTTCCATACTTTTGGAACACCCTGTATATAAGAAAATACATAATTGATAGTGAAAAAAAATTATATACATATATAATTTATGTATTTATAATTTATTATATATGTATACCCGCACACAGCACAATATCTTGCTGTAAGCTTCCCACTTGAGATTAAACCTAACCCCAGTAGAAATGTGCCACTGGGTGTCGATTATGTAATTTGATTTGACGTCAAAATCAAATTCATTTAACGTCAATGTCAAATTTAATTCAACAAATTCATTGTTTTATTTAACTTAGACGTTAAATTAAAATTTCATTTTTTATTTCAATTTGACTTTGACGTCAAAGTCAAATCAAATTACATAATCGACTCCCTGGCATAGTACTGACCCAACACTGCCAGTC